GAAATAAAGTTATATGCCTTTTTAAGTTACTATGTCCTTATGTGACAAGACTTTTGTCAATGACTGTATATTGAAGTTTTATTATCTATGTATAAATGGCTTTTTACATACAAGTTGTTGAGACCTGCACGAACGAACGAGCAGGGAACGGAGAATCAGACTAAGGAAGCCATGAATACGGGTAAACGGGGTTTTATTAAAGCAAACAGGGAGCAGCACAGGATGAACGTTAATGACAGACCTGGGGAAAACGGAGTCAGACGCAGACAAAATACACAGGACAAGGCGAAAATAACAGCCAACAGGTGATCACAATCGGGAATAAACACGAGGTAACGAGAGGAGCGTGGTACACACGAGGATCGTAGGAGCAGGTCATGACACAAGTCTAAAAACACAAAGACAGAGCATAAGATATTAGTTATTATTATCATTTTAATTCTTGTAATATACAGCTGTTACTTTTTCTCATCATTCGTTGTCCCACAGACATTATTTTAAAGTGATTCAACATGAAAATGTTGGAGCAAAAATTACTGCATTTAAAAAAATTTACATATATGTTAAAATGATGGCAGCATATTGTGCCTCTGACTACCATTTCGGGCATCAGTGAAAATGGTCGATTGTGCAGAAAAACTGCAACGCAAAAATACATCATCCGTGCAATGTCTGATGAGCTCCCCCAATGGAGAAATCTGTCACATTAGTGCTTCATTCATCGAGATCGTTATCGGCATTTTGCGTTATACTAGGCTCGTTTTCACTTGGCTTAGATTTGAAGTTGTAAAACCAACATAATAAACACAGAACCACCTTGTGCTCTAATTTGTATAATCGAAAAGAGGAAATACAACAACAATAGCTAACCTACATCACTGTCAAGTGATTTGCAGTCACACCTCAACAATCCACGCGTGTACTTACGTCATAGAAAAAATTAACATAATTCATGAATTCATGTGTTTTAACAAAATGTGGCACCGACGACACTGTCATACTGAAGATAGCCGCAGTCTACTAATGTTTTAAACTAGAAATAATTCTCTTTAACATAAATGTACTGTTTTAATACACTGTTTGATATAATGTATGTGAATAGACTAGACAATAAGTTTTAGGGCTTAACTCATGTGTTTTAGCAAAATGTGGTGCCGATGATCCAAGCGCTGTCTGGCCTGTTTGCAAATGTCCCAGTATGCACGAGAAACATTGTGTAAAAACTTTTGCTTCAAGATTCGATATGGAAGTTAGCCGACAAAGTTTTTCAGATTTCATAGAACAAGACACTGCAAGAATCACTTGAAATGTTACGAATTTCATTGCAGGGGTCTTCCCATCTAGTACTTAAACAGCATCAGCCTCCTCTAGTGTTAGAACCTGGTCTTTGATAAACCTCAGGACAGGGCCCCAAGTCTTATGAAAGGTCTTTAAGTACCCTCCAATTCTGGTTGCCGTTAGGGAAATGGGGAAACAGCTTTTGCAAAAGTGTCCACTTTGAAATAAATGAAACATATGATTCTTTGGCAGGCTATACTTGACTGATAGGATTGTGAATGTTTTCATACTTTAAGTGGTTACCCTTTGTTAGATATAGTGAACATCTAGTGATAATGACACAATTGAGGCAGATCATTTAATTAGAATGATTACAAACAAAAATATTAAAACATATTTTTGACCAGAGTCAATCGCAAACAGTTACATTCAGTGCACAACGTCTGTCGGTACATGCTTGTCCCACACCAAATCCCAGAATGCTTGAGCGGCTGCATCTACATCGTTACTGTATCCATTTTGCTGCGTATGTCCCTCTCATTTTTCAACTTATTTAAAACTGTATCGATAACCCTCTGAAACTGAGAATATAAACACATTCAGACTTTGTCCAATTTAAAACAAAAATAAAACAAAAACACCAGTACGGTAAACTAGGTACACTCACCATTAAAACTAAGAACATAAGAACTATACAAACGAGAGGTGGCCATTCGGCCCATTGAGCTCGCTTAACTAATAGCTCAGAGTTGTTAAAATCCTATCTAGCTCTGATTTAAAGGAACCCAAGGATTCAGCTTGCACTACGTTATCAAGAAGACTATTCCATACTCTGACTACACGCTGTGTAAAGAAGTGCTTCCTTAAATCCAGTTTGAAATGTTCTCCCGCTAATTTCCACCTANTTATTGAAAATTCGGACGTATGCGTCCGAACCACTAGGCGGCGACAGTGAAAGAGCTAACTTAGCAACTTCGGAATTGCGACGTACCTTTTATGGGTTCATTTGACTATTACAAACTGGTAAGACACTATGACTTGTCTAGTGACCAATATGCAAAATAAAGAAGTCAGACACTTATTAAACTTAACAACCTTTTATTAAACTTAACAGCATCTTCATTAAATCTAACTTGGATGGACTGGAGCAGTCGGCACCACTGCATCCTCAGGCCTGAAATTTAAACAGACAGCAGACAAATATCAATAACCGGCGACAGCAACCATGACATAAAGTAATAGTAGTGGCAGTAGCACATTAAGTTTTTCAATGTCTTAACTTACTTTTCTGTCATCTTCATGTAATAACAGATATCATGCAGGTTTAGCTTCACCTGTTTCATCGTAGCTAACAGGTGAGGATAGCCTTTCGTATGACGACGGAGCTGAAAGGTAAGCATTAAATCAGTTTCATCTTTTTAATTATGAACAACCAATGGAATTACGTGAAAGTGTTCTTACAATGTCCTCATGAATTGGGCGAGTCCACATGTCAAGGCAAATATCAGCCAGGATGGAATTTAGTTTTTCAACCGCTGCCTTAAATGAATCAGGAGAAACATATCTTTAATAACAACATACACATTGATATATATATACACATGTTTGTGCGTGTGTTTGTGTACAATGCCTCACCAGCTTGCATCTTCATAATCTCACAGATATTCTCAAGGTATTGTGATGTACAATAAAAACTTTAATATAGGTTTTTAGTTTTACCTGTGTATCTATCAGTGACAAATTGTGGTTACTTACTTCATCCTCTTCAATTTGGCGGTTCTGTGCAGACGCACTTTCTTTTCCTCGTTTGTATCTTTTACCGGTCGCTAGGGTGACCACCTAATCCATGTCAGGAGGGACACTATGAGCTACTTCAGCTTTTACGAACTACTTTAAAGCTGAAAGGGTTCTGTGCTCTGTTTGGTTAGTTCCTAGATTGAAAGACTCATCCAGCTGTTTTGCATTAACATTACTGACACACATGCATGATTATAGGAGACTGACCAATCAGCATACGGCAAGAACCCAGTACTTAAGTGAAATCCTGGTCCTTTTAATTGAAATGTATGAAATGGTAGTTTACAAATCCTGTTGTAGCTCATAGTGTCCCTCCTGACATGGATTAGGTGGTCACCCTAACGGTCGCCCTTGGCTTGATGATGATTATCATGGAAAAGATTAAGTTAGGCTTTTCTATCTCATCCATTGCAATATATGACACTACAGAAGAAGACAAGCCACCATAAAGTCTCTTAGAATGACTGTGATTGACACGTGACACTTTCCGAAATTTCGTTATCTAGCGTCAAGCTTCATGGCATTGCCGGAATTCCATTACAGCATTGCCGGAATTGCTTTATCTAGCGTGAAACTTCATAGCACTGCTGGAATTCCGTCATAGCATTGCCGGAATTCTGTTATCTAGCTTCACAGCATTTCCGAATTACGTCTAGAACTTTCTAAAAGTTTATAAGCATTGGAAAAACATCAATAGACTTGATAGTAAGTCAAATGCAAGCACATTAATACGCCCCTGTACGTTTCTAATCTTCATTAGCCTACCAAACATTTCCGAGTCACCGTATCAGACAGGTGCAGCTTGTCGCTCGCATTGAAGTATTATAGTCTAAGCATTTCACTCTGAAATAAACAGCGACGTGGCTTAAATCTTGTATAAGGTTAAATTTTACTAACGAAAGGTTTTACATTATTTACAAAATAATGATGCTTGCAGCCAGCTTTCCGATGTGGTTGTGAGCTCATGAAAAAGTACCCAGACTTTCATAGTGAACCACCCACTCACGGGACTCATGTAAATATATTCAGACTTATCATCAATAAATCATTCACAAATTTAATGGTGTGACCTTCAGACTACCGTGCAATTCCATACTTACGCCTAAAAAATGCAGCTGATGAATATTACAGAATCCAGAATTGCATAGTGAAACTGTCAAACAGAGCAGATGAAAGATGAAAAACAGCACAAATGTAAACAATGCCGACTGACATTTTTCTGCGAAGAGTGAGCAAGCTATTTGAGAGCATTGACATCATATTTATGGAAAAATGTGTCTTTTGTCTTAATACTGTGACAGTTTATGAATTATTGGTTGTAAAAGAAAAAGTTTTAAGTGCTTAGTTTTCAATTTATTAACACTTATATTTCACTTCCGGACACTCGACCCGTTTAAAGATGGTTGCCATGGTCATTTTGTTTTAACTTGTTACAAAATAACCATGGCACAAAAATTGTGCAACTTTGTACATTATAATAAAGGTTTCTTGTAGTGTAACAAGCCGTTTTTGGTTGATTTTATACATTTGTTTCTTTTATTGAACGTCATTTTTCTTTGTTATTTGAAAACTTGGACGTATGCGTCCGAACCACTAGAGGGCGAATTCTGAAGAGTTAACATTGCCATGCAACGCAAATTTGGGTGAAGACGTTAATTTGTCCTACATACAATGTTAATTAGCAATTGTGAATTTCTTTACTGGGGGGACATACAAATTCCACACATTTGCCACCGGGTGGCATCACTCTACTCTAAAACCCAGGTTGGTGACAATAGGCTTTCCATATTGTGCCAGAGTGCCCATGTCCACAGTCGAAGACGACCCACTAGTGCTACCAGGCCCAAAAACTATCACCTCCGTCTTATTGTCATTAAAATTTAAAAAGTTAACCGCCATCCAAGCTTTCATTTCATCTAGACATTCAACTAAAGTTTGTATGGAGTAGGCATCCTTGCGTTTTAGCGGTACATAAACCTAAGTATTGTCTGCATAACAATGGAAAGCAATGTTATGCCTTCTAAGAATGGAGCCGAGAGGCAGCAGATACAAAGAAAATAGCAGAGGGCCAAGTATTGAGCCCTGAGGAACCCCATATAACAGTGAAGCAGTGGAGGATCCAAAATCATTTAGCCTAACACAAAAAGTTCTCTGAGCCAGATACGATTTGAACCACTCCAAGGCAATACCCCCAATGCCTACACAGTGCTCCAAGCGAGATATTAAAATATTATGATCTACTGTGTCAAAGGCAGCTGTTAAGTCTAGAAGAACTAGAATCACAGAGTCCCCTGAATCTGTAGCCAGAAGGATGTCATTAAAAACCCTCAGTAATGCAGATTCTGTGCTATGAAAAGACTTAAACCCAGACTGAAAAACTTCAAATACATTACTATCATCTAAAAAGTTTTTAAGTTGAGTATACACAATTTTCTTCAAAACTTTTGACAGAAATGGAAGCTTAGAGACAGGTCTATAGCTGGATAGCACAGTGGGGTCTAGGCTGGGTTTTTTGATCAATGGTTGCACGATCGCATGTTTAAACATAGTAGGAACTACACCTGAGGACAGACTGCCATTGACAATAGCCAAAACAGACGGTCCTAAAACAGAAATAACCTCTTTAAAAAACCGAGGTGGGATAACATCAATGGGAGAACCTGAGGGCTTCAACTGACCAACAATCTCAACTAAAAACGATAAAGTCACGGGCTCAAATTGATAAAACCCAGCAGCGCAGTGGACAGAGACTGAAGGGTCACAAACTGCAGGGGGTATATGAGCCCTAACATTATTCACCTTATCCACAAAAAAGTTCAGAAATTCTTCACATGCCGCAGGAGAAGGTTCAATGCAGATGGTCTGAGGAGCATTTAAAAGAGTATCTATAATACCAAATAAAACACGCGGCTTTTTACAGTTCGACCGAATAATATTTGACAAATATACCCTTTTGGCATCTTTCACACTTAACTGATAACGATGCCAACATTCCTTTAATATTTGAAATGATATCTGCAACTTATCCTTTTTCCACTTTCGTTCAGCTCTTCGGCACTCCCGTCTGACAGCACGAGTTGTATCGTTTAGCCAGAGCTCGGAGTTAATTTTTGCTGTCTAGTTTTTAATGGAGCCACCGCTTCTAATACATTTTTGCAGGTGTAATGAAACCCAGAGCAGAGCTCCTCTGTATCCGAAGAAGCACACTCAAGAAAGTCACACTGATTAAACAAAGCAGAAAAATGTACAGCAGTAGACGGATTAAAAACACGACAGCATTTCGCAGGAGCGCGAGGTTTACCAACGCGACAGGGCAAAGTAATGTCAAATAACAGGCTTATGATCGGAAAACACTGCGTCAGTGATCGTTAAATTTAAAATAGAAAAACCATGCGATAAAACAAGATCCAATGTGTGCCCACCTTCATGCGTTGGTCTGGACACCCACTGCAAAAAGCTAAGAGAATCAATAAGACTTACAAAATCCTTCACCATCGGTTTATCAGGACAGCAAACATGTACATTAAAATCCCCAAGAATAAGAACTCGATCATACTTGGGCACGATGTCAGCCAGTAAATCAGGAAATTTAATTAAAAAATTCTTATTGTATTTAGGAGGTCGGTAAATAACAGCACACAACACGGAGTGAGAACAACCCAGCTCAAATAAGCTCAGTTCAAAGCTGGAGGGAGTCGATGGTGGAGAAAGCTGCTTGCATTTATATTTACTCCGAAAAACAATCGCAATTCCTCCTCCTCGGCCTGAAGTCCGGGGGGAATTAAAGTAACCACAGTCAGAAGGTAAGAGCTCTGAAAAAACGCTGGACTCACCAACCTTCACCCATGTCTCCGTCATACAAACAAAGTCCAGCTCATTTGAAATGAAAAAGTCCTTAAGAATAAAAGTTATGTTTGCTAATGATCTAGCGTTAACAAGTCCAATCCTGGCAGGAGCCAGCGGCACCGAGGTGCTAGCATTACGCAGATCACGGCCGAGAGGCCGCAGGTGTCCCAGTACTGCCCCGTGCCGCTTGGAACGATGATGGTACAAACAGCGGGGGTTTGACTGCTGGAACAGCTCTTCCGACCCGGCCACAGGTATCAACCAGGTGTATGCCGGGTCCAGTAAACGCCGGGAAGAAGCAGGGAAATAAGCCCCTCCATGTGCAGTCCGAAATCTCACAGAAAAGGCCTTCAGTCTCACCAGCCTACCGCTACGTTTTCCCCGGCGACGGCGACGCTTCCTTAGGTAGGGTGGAGCCGAAGCACGGCAAAGGTAATCGGGGACCTCTGACAAAAACGGGGGCAATGTTTTCTGACCATTGTGATAAAACTTAACTTCTGCAAAACTTCGCTGATCCAAAAGAGTTTGGCGATCATACACCAACAAAGCATCAACATTTTGAAAAACAAAACTTAAAGACAACATAAAAACAAACAGAACTGGTAGAGACAAGCGGCCAGCCACAAAAACAGGCGCCATCATGACTCCCAAGATTGAAGTATTTTATGCAAGGTCAATACTTCAGTAGTAATCAATAAAGACGCAGTTGATCACAAAGATCTCTGATTTGCTAAGTATAAGTTTCAGATTTGCTCATTAGGCTAACCCTACCCAGATTTCCTACGTGAAATTTTGGAATTGTGGTTTCAGATTTGTTAATTAAGCTAACCCTACCCAGAAATGCTAAGTGTAATTCTGGGATTGTTACTTCTGAATTTGCTAAATGTATTTCCAGAACTGTTCATTAGTCTAACCCTACCCAGAAATGCTAAGTGTACGTCCGTTATTGTTCATTAGGCTAACCCTACCCAGAAATGCTAAGTGTAATTCCGGGATTGTTACTTCTGAATTTGCTAAATGTATTTCCAGAACTGTTCATTAGTCTAACCCTACCCAGAAATGCTAAGTGACATTCTGGAATTGTTCATTAGGCTAACCCTACCCAGAATTGCTACATGTATGTATGGAAGTGCTAAGACCAGGAATGTTAA